CAACAATCTTCCTGCTTCATCTTATCGTATGATAAATAAACTTGACCACTTTCAACTCTTGGTGCTGCGATATGTTGGCATGTCATTCTTACGACCACTGGTCGGTGACCCTCCTTGCCCAGCTCATTGTCCATGTTGGCAATAACACGCAATCCTGCCGCCGCTTGGAACCAGGATCCGACTATTCCAGCGTAATCCGTCCTGTGCATGACCGCCCCATCCGTACACGTCCAACATTCAGCATCACCAACCAGGGTATTATACAGATGCCTGTTATGTATGTTCACAAATTCGGCCAGCATCTTACCATTCTCGTCGATCTTGCTGGTCGGTAGACTATCTCAAATTAACGGCATCTCCATAGCACTAGTGTCTATCCGCGCATTCGCGCCCATCAGAAAGATGTCCGTTTGATGCTTCTGACATACTTCCGCTTGCTCTTTCCACCACCGTCGTCGTTCTTCCACAGGCCGCCCCCTCTGTGGGGCATGCATCACCGCCACCCTTATATGAAGATGAGGTGCCTTGATCTGCACTACCAAGCATGTTGGTGCCTTATGTATCACTCGCAAATGCTGTTGTCGTAGATGATACTCCTGCTTTTCACCTGTCGCATATGGTATCGTCGTGGAAACCAACAAGGCACATCCATGTCCACCAGCATCTGCTCCTGCTCGAAGAGTCACGTAGCCATCTGCCCATTGCTGACCTTCTCGCCCTCGGGCCTCCTGTATTCCAACCATCAGTAGGTTTTCATCATGAAATTGAAGCCTCAATTTTTGTAATCTCTTCTTCTTCTCCTCACGCTGCGCTTTAGTCAACTTCTTTGACTTGGCCTCCGTGAGTGAAATAGCATTATACGTTACCATCTCAAAATTAACTGGTACCCCTTCTGTCTTTTTTGTGACCTGATCCTTCTCATATCTGCCATTCGGGTATACCTTGCTTCTCATCTCGTTTGTGCCCGATAACGCCACATTCTGTGTAAATCCATCTGGTTCGTGAAAATAAAGCCCATCATCGCGTATCTGTGGGTAGCAGTGTGCGTATCTCTGATCATACTTCAACCACTGCCAGCATAGACCGAGGCCGTACTCGATGCTCTCCGCTACCTGCATGTGCGGTACTCTATGTCGCACTACCAAATTGGATCGTGCTATATTGTCCGCCAGATGATTTCACGGGTCCAGGTCATGTGACTTGGTGTATTTGAAGTATACCCTGCCTCTATACCGTACTTCCCGTGACAAGGCATCCAGGAATGCCGCTAACTTCCAGTTCGGCTGGTAACCGTGCTTCCCACATATGATGCCGAGCGCAATATTGGAGTCCGATGTGATCGTCCACTCCATCTCATCATCATCTTTCATAATAATATACAGAAACGCCCATATTAATGCCATAATCTCCGATGTGGTACTATCCATATGACTACTCTTTCCGATAATCCGTGAGCTCTCGATCGTCCGTGCCGTCAAGTATCCTTGGAATACGTATTCGCTCTCCACTTGGTTGCTGACCACCACAGCCCATCCATCAAGATGGGGGTCCGCTTCCTTGCGAGATCCGTCCGTCCATATATACCCGCGCATTGGCCTCGCCAATCCATCGGTCCGTCTGGGTTCCACCAACAAGGGTATCCTGGCCAACTCCGACAGCTCGATGTTGCTGAAGTCCCGGGCAAACTGCATGGGGTGGTCCATCCGACGCATCATCTCCGTGAAGGTGTCTGGGATATTTACCTTGCAGCAGCGTGATGGCTCTAGTAGCTCATCCAGTGCAAAGCACCTAGAAGCATTTCGTGGCATTGTCGGCCTCATCGTGTGCTCCAAACCAATCGTGGGAGGAGCTGCACCATGTGCCGTCGACGTCGCAGACGGGGAGCAAGGACCTACACCCAGTCGAGCATGTCCTTCAAGTCCCGCCGTGGTTACCCGACAGCGGTCCCGTCCATGGGCATCACAAAAATTACCTTCATGATATGTGGCATCAATACTGCATTCGATACCACCACCATCTTTCGGTATGTAACTTGAAGAACCTGCTGGCTCCACAAACCTACTGTGCCCCGACGGTGCCAGCCTTGATCTCCCGCAATCCGACATTGGTCCCCGCCGAGTACTTGTAATTCCAAAATCTGCGGCCCTATCATGCACCCCACCTGGGCGGTCATCCCTCCCAGGTGAAGTCTTCCATCTCACTTGTTTGCGTTATTACCATCCTCCACAGATTGCCTTGTCTGCGAAGGTATGCGTACACGATCTCCTGGATGGTCAAATCCATCTCCTCCTGGTATTTCCCCCGTCCTGACTTTAGCTGGAGGGGGTCGGCGAGCAGCTCCGTCACTTGATTCGTTGCTCTGTTCTGAACCCCCAGGAGTACCAAAGTGGAAGTACTGAGGCTTCCCCACTGGTGTCATCGGCTCCGTTGGCGTAATACTTGTCGCTGTCGACGTCGGCGTCGGGTAGCCCATCTGCTCTCCATAGCCTCTTTGTCGACGACCGAATGGCTGCATAGCTTTCCCTCCAAACTCCTTGGAAGGGCCTTTACCATGGTGTTGATTATGTCCTTTGTAATGCAACACGTCGGGGGGCCACCCTCTCGCCAGTATGCACGGGCCCCCCCCTGCACAACTGGGCGTCGCCTGCCCCGTTGGAACCTCGGTGGGCGCAGGTGATGCGGGGGCCATCGATGACTCAACTTCTACCGCTTCATGCGACGCCACCACTGCCCTTATTTCTTCCTCCTGCCTCTTCGCGTCCAACTCGTCCTTGGCTGTGATCTTCTGTGTTGTCCGATGGGACCCCTGCTCGTGTATCATTCGTGCGCTGACCAACTCATCCTCCGCCATCCTTATTGCTTGATCCACTTCGCTCTCTTCTGGATACGGTGGAAGAGAGTATTGTGGAGCAGGAGGTTCATCTCCTCCGCTCCTCGGCGCGGCCGTGCCCCCAACTGGCGTCGCCACCCCCATCTGAGCATTCGATCTCTGCATCGCCTCCACAATACCAAGTTGCTGCTGCAATACTTCATTCTGTTGAAATTCTCGGGCTCAAAGTGAGCAAGATCCTCGGCATATTCCTTCATGGCCTGCTCCTGCTGCTCTTTGTACCATTGTTGGAGTTGCTGTTGATGCTGCTATGGAGTAATGTTTTTGAAAGCCTCAGCAGTCTGTCTCCTTATCCACTCAATCCTTTGCTCCTCCAACTGCTGGTGCTGAAGATGCTGATTCTGCATATTCTGTATGCTCATCGTCTGCTCTGCCAGTGCGCGCTGCTGCTGTTCTTGCAACTGTTGATACTGAGCTTCCTGCTGCTCCTTCAGCCTCGCGCAGTCCGCCATCAGTTGTGTCTGAATGAAGTTCGACTTGTTCTCAACCTGGGCCGGTCGTAGTAGTGCCTGATGTAACTCTTCTTGCCGATTGGCCTGCGCCGTGAACATATCCGTCAGTGCCTTCATTTGTTTGATCATCGCCGTCACTTCCACACTTGGTCCTTCACCATGATGTCCATGCTCCATTATTTGTGACACTGGCGTGAAGCTCGAACCTGATAATGCATTAGCCCGACGTGCACCAGTCGCATGTTCGTCCATCTTCCGATGTCGCATGTCATCCTCGTCCTCCATCAGGTAGTCCTCGTCCTCCTCTTCGAGCTTCCTCTTCAAGTTATTCAGTAATTCATTAGTGTGCTCCCTTTTTTGTCTCAGTTCCGTTTCATGATCTGCCAACTTCTTTTTCTTATTTTGAATTTTTCTTATCTGGGCCTCCAACTTCTCGGTATCATTTTCCAGACTTCTCCGTTGCTTGAAGCTTGGCTTCACAATCATCAACATGTATTTCAGTACCTTGACCTCCGCCACCTGTGACGCACAACCTTGATCCGCTTCTCTCGCCGCCATGCTCATCTTCAAGAGCTTGTTGATCTTCTGGTTGACATCCTTTTTGTACTGTTGTATATGTTGATTTCCTTCTGGTGGCATTACATATATCGAGTGCTCGTTTGCTTCATCCGCCTTGGCGATCGGTATGTCATCATATATTTTCCGTAGCCGTCCGTCCCGATCACGATGCTGTTGATCGCGTGGTCTTGACTGGTTTCTACTCCCTCTTCTCGTCCACGGGGCCTTGTCTCTCCACGTCTGCTGATCTTTCTGTGTGTAGTACTTCTGATACTGCCCACTCTGCTGATTCCACGGCGCCATATCCTTGTCTTGGTACCACTGGTCCTGGTGTTGCTTGTTGCGCTGGTGCTGCTGCGCTGAGTGGTGCTGCTCCAGCACCTGCGCCGCGGAGCAGAGCTTCAGAAGCACCCTGGCCTCTGCGCGCTGATGCCTGGCCCTTCTGTGCCAGGCTGGCTCGCCCGCGGTGCGCGGCGTGGCGGAGCCTCCCGCGCGGCCTGGCTGGGGGCCAGGCGTCCGCGCAAGCCGCCTCCTGCTGGAGCGGCCCCAGGCGAGGCAGCCCACAGCGCCTGCGGCGCGCGGCTGCAGCAGCTGCCGATCGCAGCCGCCGCTGCGCGCGGCCACGAGGGGCAAGGGGCGGGCCGACGACACGACGGCTGGCCCCGCTCTCCTCAGCCCGTGGTTTCCTCCTCCTCCTCCTCCTCCTCCTCCTCCTCCTCCTCCTCCTCCTCCTCCTCTTCCTCCTCCTCATCCTCCTCCTCCTCGTCATCCTCCTCCTGTTCCTCCTTTTCCTCCTCCTTCTCCTCCTCCTGTCCCCATCCGTTCGGCCGCTTCCTCTTGCTGCAACAGATAACTCGAAGGGGGAAGTGAGAAGGGGCGGGCCTTCTCAAAAGGCTCGTAAGCCCCCCGGCCTTCGGAGAGTCTAAGCTTTACCCAAGAACACGCAGGGAACTTCTCAGAAGGCCGATGGCTTCTGAGAAGCACCCCGAGGGCTTCTGAGAAGCCCCGCCGCCTTCTGAGAGGGCCTTCTCCTTCGCACATCCCCCCTCGCTCGCCGCCGGCTGGAGGGCGGGGCGGGCGCGCTGCGCGAGCTTCATGGCCTCGGGGTTCAGGTCGAGGCGAATGTAGCACAGCTCGTTGATCCAGCCCATGAGGTTACCGTCCGCGTTAGCGTAGCCTGTGCTGGGGGGAGGGAGAAGGAGGGCCAGAAGGAGGAGAAAGCGGAGGAGGAGGGAAGAAGAGGAGGAGGAGGAGGAGGAGGAGGAGGAGGAGGAGGAGGAGGAGGGAAGGGGAGGAGGAGGAGGAGGAGGATGACGGGACGGGGCTATTGAGCCACACTCTGAGGGCGGCCCAGGTCGCTGAAATACACGGGCGGCCACACGAACTTGCTGAAGACGAGCGTGACGGTCAAGAACTGCCAAACTCGACGCCACCCCCTGCCGCACGGCGGCGGAACACCTGCCTGGCCCTGGCCAAGCCGCCGTCCGCCAAGCAGGCGACCTCGCACAGCAGCCGGTGCACACCACGGCAGGCCGTGTGCGGCGGGCACCCGCAGGCGCCACGGCAGCTGCATGACCACCGCTGCTGGAGCCCGCCAGGAACACCATGGCGACGGACTCGGCCTGCGCCTGGCCCCCGCGGCCACGTCGGCCGCCCCGGGGGCATCCGCCAAACGCCTCCGCAGACGGCACGCCTCGGCTACTGTCCTCGCGAAGGGCCCCCCACGGCGGCCCTGGGCCTCGGGGGCCCTCGCGGGACATCGCCTGGCCTCCGCGGCCGCATCGGCCGCCCTCGGGGCATCCGAGTGCCTCCGCAGACGGCACGCCTCGGCTGCTGCCCTCGCGCGGAGGGGGCTCCCAACGGCGGCCCTGGGCCTCGGGGCCCCCCCTCTGGACCTCGGGGCTGCCCGCGCCTCCGCCGCGGCCGTCGGCACGGCAGCCATCCCCCCCTCGGGAGCCCCCTCCTGCGCGGCGGCGGCGGCGGCTCCCCGGGCGGCCCCCTGGCCGGAGCCCTGGCGCGCCCGACCTGCGGAAGCCGAGCCTGGGCGCCTCCTCGGCGGCGGCAGCGGCCCTCCTCGGCGGCGGCGGCGGCCGGGCTGGCCGCGCCCGACCTGCGGCTGGACCCAAGCGGCCCGGCTCCTGGGCGGCCCCAGCGCCCGCGGCCGTTCTGCCCGGGGCCACCGGCTGGGCAGGCATATCCACCCCCGCGGGTGCCCCTGCTGCGCCGCGCGTGCCAGTGGCGCCTCGGCCGGGCGATCAGCTGCTGGGCGACCCGCAGTCGCCGACAACAGAAAACGATCGCTGCGGCCTGCAGCATCGTCTCGCTGCAGATCGAACCAGGCGCGGCGTCGAACAGAAGACCTCGGGGGCGCAAGGCCAGCAGGGATGGCGCCTGCCGATCCCTCCCCGCATCACCCGATCACGTGGCGCCTCAGACTCCCTCGCCAGTTGAAAGACTCACACTTGGCTGCCTGCTCAACTGCTGCTGCAGCCAGGCGTTCCTGATCCTGGCGTCCTCCACCAAGCGCTCGAGCTGCTTCGACAGCACCATGCATGACCAGGCTGGAAAGCGGCCGCGGCAGTTGGCAGGGTTGTCCCCGTGTGGGGCACCATCGGTATCTCCAGCGCCTCCCCGAAGCTCCAGCGCGCTCGAAAATCCGCCAACCCTGTCGGCGTGTGGACCACCTGTCGGCGTGCGCTCAGTCGACGCTCGAGTTGTCTTCTTTCCCTGCGTCTCCGTCGTCCCCTTTCCCTGCATCCTCCTCTTCAAGCCTGCCAGCGAGAGAAAACCGTAGCAACGTCGTACTGAAGTCCGCCGACCCCTTGTGGGTCTCTAGGCGTGTGAGATAGCTCCCCCCCCTAACCCCCCCCCTGGGACCCCAAACCGGAGATTTGACCCCCCCCCCCGGGCCGCAGACGAGCGCACCACGGGGCTCTTTTGGGCCCAAAAGGGGATCAAGACGGGCCAAGAAGGCCCCAAGACTCCTCCAAGACGGCTCACGAGAGCTCCGAGGCGCCAAACGAGCGCTCCCAGACGCCCAAGATGCCCCCAAGACGAGCCTAGAGGCCTCCAAGACGGCCCAAGACGCCTCCAAGAGCAGTCCTCAGAAGGGCCGAAGCGCCGAAAATCGTCAATTCCTATGGGAAAACGTACATTTTGATCACATACGACTTCTCGGCCTTCACGGCGTTGAAGACGGTCCCAGAGCACCCCAAGACCGCCCCGAGAGGCCCCCAAGAGGCGCCCAAGTCGGCCCAGGAGGGCGCCAAGACGGCCCAAGAGGCCCCCAAGACAGCCCAAGAGGGCCCCAAGACGGCCCCAAGAGGTGCCCAAGAGGGGGAGCCCGAACCGACAATCCGAGCCTTCCGCCCCAAGGCGGCCCCAGAAGGCCCCAAGAGGCCCCAAGAGGCCCCCAAGACGCCCACAAGAGGCCCCAAGAGGCCCCCAAGAGGCTCCAAAACGGCCCCCGAGAGGCTTCGAAACTGCCTCCAAGAGTCCCGCGAAAAGCCCCCCAAGAGATCCCAACGATCACCGCACAAGTCTCATATCAACAACCCAGGCACGGTGGCGGGGTTGCGTTTGCGCACAACAAAAATGATTCGCGCTCTCGAGGCCAAGATTGCTCCAAAACGGCCCAGGATGGCTCCAAAACGGCCCAAGATGGCTCCAACACGGCCCAAGAACGTTCGAAGACGGCCCAAAATGGCCTCAAGATGGCCGACAAGGCTTTCACTATCGCCCACGAAGTCTCCAAGAAGACCCCCAGGACATCTGAAAGAGGCGCACATTACGCATTTCATTACATTTCCATTGCGTTGTTGAACATGTTTGCAATTGTTGCCTTTCCCGGCTTCCGTCGGCTCACGTAGCCCAAAGAGCCTCCAAGATCGCCCCACGGCGCCCCAAGAGGGCCTCAAGACGGCCCCAGAGAATCCCAACACGGCCCAGGACGCCTCCCAATTCGGCCTAAGACGACCCCAAGACGGCAAAACCTGTCTCCAAATTGGTCCCAAGCTGGTGCAAGACGGCCCTAACCCAAAACCCATAACCCAGAGCCTTGTTTCTGTGTCCCCTTCCTCCTTCTCCTCCTCCTCCTCCTCCACCTCGGCCGCCAGGTGGGTTCAAAACTGCTTTCCAAAGGTCCCCGAGAGGCGTGCCGCGAGATCCCTATACACATACAACAAGTTTCTAACCAATAGCACATATCCCAGAGTTTCGTCTCTGTGTCCCCGTCCTCCCCCTCTTCTCCTCCTCCTCCACCTCCTCCTCGCCCACTCCTCCTCTTCCTCCCCCGCCTCCTCCTCTTCCTCCCCGATTCTTCTCCCCCCATCCTCCGCCTCACCCCCCATCCCTCTCTCCCCCTCCCCCCTGTCCTCCCCCGCACGCGCGCCCCCGATTGGGCATCATTTGCAGGTCTTGCATATCAGGGTGCCCTTTTTTGCATCGCGTGCGACGTTGGCAGGGTTCCCGGAGAACGCCGACGTCGGTAGTCTTCTCTTGCACGCGCCGCCGCACTGATACGCCTGGCAACTGCGGGCTGTGAACCCGAGGTTCCGGCAAGACCGCCAAGATGAGGGGTCGGCGGATGTGGCGTAAGCCTATAGAATCGAAGAGTAGCCCCTTCCCTTTGATCTCTCCCCCGCCGAGGGGGGGGGTGTCCTGGGGGGTCCCGGGGGTTCCCGGGGGGGGTCCTGGGGGGGTCCCGGGAGGGGGGGATCAGATACGCATCCGCCCCTGGGCGTCCCGAAGCCCAAAAAAGAGCCAAGACGCGCCAAGAGTGTCCTAAGAGGCCCCCAAGAAGGTCCAAGAGTGCCCGAGAGGCCTCCAAGAAGGCCCCGAGACAGCCCAAGAGGGCCTCAAGACGGCCCCCAAGAGAACCTCAAGACAGCCCAAGAATGCCCCAAGAGGGCCCCAAGCCGGCCCAGAAGAGGACCACGAACTAACACTTCGAGCTTCCCGCCCCAAGACGCCCCCAAAGGCCCCAAGAGCCCCTCAAGGAGCCCGAAGAGGCCCCCCAGAAACCCCCAACAGGCCCAACAGAGGCCCCAACAGGCCCGAAAACAACCAAGAGGCCTTTCAACCAGGCTCCCTGTCTGTCTCTGCTACGACTCCCTCGACCCACATGGGGAACATCTCCTTCGCCTTCTCCTGCTCCATCCGACCTTAATCCCCCTTCTCCTCCTCCTCCTCCTCCTCCCTCCTCCTCCCCCTCCCCCTCCTCCTCCTCCTCCTCCTCCTCCTCGTGTTCGTCGTCGTCGTCGTCTTCAGGGTCGGCGGCTCCAGCCGTAAGGCCTTAGCAATAAGAATAAGAACAAACGCCACGAACATTCACTGTTGGCGCTCCGCGCGGGTTTCTGGGATCCGCGCCGGACCCTCCCTCCCTCCTGGCGCGCGGAGCGCGCCAAGGGCGGCGCCGGAAGCGCCGCTGGAGGGGGCCCAGCGGGGAGCCAAGAACTCCGCGCGGAGCGCTAACACTGTATGTTGTTGTTCCTCTTCGGAGCATGGCGGGCCGTCGCTGGCAGGCACGGCGGCGGCAGCCGGCGTGGCAGCGGAGGCGCACTCCCTCGCGTGCACGGCGGCCTGCGGGGGCACGGCCGCGGTGATGCGCACTGCTCGCCCTTTGCCAGGCGCGGCCGGCGAGCATGGCGCAGCCAGGGGAGCGGCGGCTCTCCGAGGCCTCCGCGTGCCGAGCGTGGCCGAGGCCGTCGTCGAGGAGGGTTCGGTCGGGCAGATCCTCCAGCAGGCGTATCGTAGAGGTAAAAACAAAAATGCATGCAACATAACTAATCAGTAAATGCGATTACAAAAATCATACGTTGTTCCACAGATACTCGAAAGAAACATTCCCCAAAAGAAGTTTGAACTCTCCTCCTGTGGAGGAGCACGCCCGACTTCAAGCTAGGGCCCCGCCAAGCCCGTGCGCGGCAAGCCCCCAGCGGCCGAGGTGCGCAGCTCGCGCGTCCGGGCGGGGGGTCACTTCGCGCGCCTCTCCGCTCGGACAGCGGGCAGGCGCCTCCCGGCCGTCCGCCTGGGCCAACCGCCGCTGGAACCTGGCGACCTCGGTCTGGGCTTGGCTCTGGCATGTCCTACTACAGGCGGATCCTGGGAGAAGAATTAAAGATACGCCCACGAGAAGGCAGTCAACAAATCGTCCCCAGACTATTTTTGACTACTTTTGCACACTCCTCCTGCAGAGGGACAGGCCCGACTGAAGCCTGGGCCCCTGACACCTCGCGCACGAACCGCCGGGCAAGCCCGTCGGTCGCCGGCCGTGGCAGGCACCACGCCGCGGACCAACTCTCGAACTCTCACGAGAAGCAGCCCCGCCCTCCCGGCTCCGGCAAGCTGGCACGCCGAGGGACGGTGGCCAGGAGCGGGGAGCCTACTGCTACGGCCTTTGAGCCAACAAGCCGTGAGCAGAAAGGGCCACGGACGGGAGGAAGAAGTGGGCCGAGGGGGGCGCCCACGAGCGCGCCCTCGTCGGCACCACCAGGCATGAAGACCGGTGCCCCGAATGCGCGCAGTGTCTCGTTACCTGCTGCTGCTCCTGGCACACCGAGGCCCTCCTCTGGGAGGGAGGGGAGGAGAGAGGAGGTAAGAGGGATGGAGGGAGGGAGGAGAGAAGCAGGGAGGGGGGGAAGGGGGGGGGGGGAGGAAGGGAGGGAGGGAAGGAGTGATGAAGGGAGGGAGCGAAGGAGGGAATGATGGGGAGGGGGGGAGGAGGGCTCAGCCCTCCTGTCAGAGGAAGGGGCGGGCTTGCGCCTCCGCCCTCGCTGCTGCCCATGGAGATGCCCAAGATGTTCCCCTTGCCGATCTTCTGCACGGCCGCCAGCGCCGTGACCTCCCCGTCGTTGATCACCTTCAGGGGAACGTCGCCGGCGACTTCCTTTGAAGAAAAAACGGCGTAAACATAAACTGCTGGAGGTCCACGCAAATTTTGGGATCCGCGTTGGGCCCCCCTCCCTGGCGCGCTCCGCGCGCCAGGGGCGGCGCCGGAGGCGCCAGAAGGGGGGCCCAGGCGCCGATCCAAGACATCCGCGCGGACCGTCGAAAGTTTTTGTTTATGCCGTTTGTTCCTATTTGATCCTTGGCCATCCTGATGAAGATGTCCACGACCTTGGCCTTTGCATGAGCACAAGAGAACAAGAAAAACACCTGCACTAAGCGTGTAAACGTATGGGCGGCCACGAGGGTCGACGCTGGACGACCCCTCGCACACCTCGGCGGCGCCTCTGGCGCAGCCCCCAGCGCCGGGGGGGAATGGGAGAGGAGTCCACCGCCGACCAGTCGCCTGAACGACATGCGAAAAAGCCTGTTTCTTGGTTCCCCGCACTGACGGCCGTTACTGGCCAGCCCCCATCCCCTCCCAGGTAACGTCACGTTGTGCGCTGGCACCGTCTGGGAATGCCCAGGAATAGATAAGGACAGCTAGGATGAGCATGTAAGTAATTAGAGCTCCTTTGGGGACAGCTAGGCACAGCGTAGGGACTTGCCGAGAGCAGCCACGTAGCGCCAAGAGATGCCACTAGAGGCTTCTCTGGGTACGCCACAATGCCCGTGTACACCAAAATGCCTGCGTGCATCACAGCGAATGTGAACACCACAAGGCCTATGTGCACATCAGCGTTTGTTCACACCAAACCCTGTGTGTACCACAAGGTGTGAACACAACACGCTGCCTGTGAACACCACAATGCCTGAGTACACCCCAGTGCCTGTGCACAAAGCAACGACTGCAATCATTACAAGGTCTTGGAAGATCATAGCTGCTGCAGGGAAAAGACACATGATCACCACAGCGAACGTGTGCACCCCAGTGCCTGTGCGCACAGCGGCAGCCATGTGCACCACAGCGCCTGGGTGCACCACGGTATGTGTGCTCACCACATCGCCCGAGTGCAACATAGCTTCTGATTCGGCATCATGTGTGTCTCACATCGCCAGGACACCACAGCGCCTGTGTACCTTCAGGGTCAAACAAGGGCCTACACCTCGAATGAACCACCGTAGTGAACCCGAGTGCACTATCAAAGTTAGTTGTGCTGATTGATTGTCTGCCCAAGGTAGGGCCACCCTTGGGAGGACCCGCATTGACTGTGTAGACCGCACAGCCTTTATGCACTTACACGAATGCGCACACAGCAGTGAGTGCTTGCGCTAGGTCAGGAGTGTCCTTCTACTGGCGGATTATGGAAGAAAAATAAAAGATAGTCAACGATACTCAGGAAGCATACCCACAACAAAAAACGACAGATCGTCACCAGACTATTTGTCTACGATTCTCGAATACTCCTTCTGCAGAAGGGACACGCCCGAGTCAATGCCTGCGTGCATCGAGCATGCGGCAGAGCCGAGTCTGTGCGCCACAGCGCGTGCGCACACCACGGCGACTGCGCACGCCACAGAGCACGCACAGCGCGGGCGGTCGCCCAGGCCGCTCCCGCCGCCGCCGGGCGGGTAGGCGCGCCCTCGGGCTGGGCATCGTCATCGCACGTCCGTCGCGTCGCTGTCGGCAGGACCGGGGTCCCGCCGGCGGGCGCCCGCAGCAGCCCGAGGCACCACAGCGCCTCGACAGCGCCCGTGAGCACCACCACCGCCCGTGTGCCCCGCAGGTGGTGCTGCGGTGGAAGGAGGGCACCAGAACGCCTCTCAACACCTGGGTGCAATGGTTGGCTCGACCACAACGGGACCTTCCACGAGAAACCCGACCCTGAGACCCCAGGACGCCCCACTGGTTCTTGGTGCGGGAGCGTCGCGCCGTCCACGGCAGAACCATCGAGACCCAAGAAGCCCAGGGCACCCCGAAGGCAAGCAGGGTGTTTCTTGGCATGGGTCTCCGCTGTACACCACAGTCCCTGTGCGCACACACACACTGCCTAAGGTGCACCTCGGGAGGCCTCCAGAAACCTCCAGACGACTTCGGTCGTCGTTGTCGTCGTCATCATCGTCGTCGCCATCGTGGTCGCAAGCCACTCCTAGCCAGGACGCCACTGGGAAACTTCCCGCAAACCCCGAGGGGGCAACTCGTGACGCTACTGGGCCCCTTTCCTCCCCCATCTCGGAGAACGGCCGCTCACACAAGATGATAAGATCATATGCTTAACATCCGAGGTTGCTCTAGGCGTCTCCTCCGTCCAGGGGGGGAAGCGAAGGAGCAGGAGGAGGGGCGATCTTCTTTCGGGGGTCCACAAGGGGGGCTCATACCAGCTCCCCGTCGTACTTTCGGACCACTCGGGCCTTGTAGACATCGGGGGGCACGTTGGGAAAAATGTCGCACCACGTCGCCTCGTTCTTGCCGCTTATGGTCCCCGTCGCGCTGCCCCCGACGGCGTCCACGCTCGGCAGCGCCGCCTTCGCCAGCAGGAGCGCGTCGACGATGGCCTTCCGCGCAACGGGTTTGCTACCGAATCTTGCTCGTGCCGTAGGCTGTGGCAGCCCATGGCCGTGCACACTGGCAAATCACTTGTGCAAACATGCATGGCGCACTCTGTGCCGCCACATCGCACTCTGTGCCGCCACATGGAGGCGTCACTCACTGCATTGAAGTCGTGAGCTCATTGCTACTGGACCTAGTCTTCCACAATTGCTTCCACGATTGGCGACCCTGGCCTCACACGTGTCAACTGACGCCCCACGACGTCGCTCTACACAAGAGTCTCCAGAGGACCTTCAATCCGTATCCTTCAAAATAACTGCTCCCACCTTATGGACCCGAAGCACAAAATGTCCAACAGTGGCACGGGTGGAAGAGGGGCCGTTTCAAAATCTCGCTCCCGCCTTAGCGCCGCGAACATTCGTCCCAACGCTGCCCAGCAGTCACACGGATGGCAAGGGAGTCGTATTTGAAGGGTGGCTGTCGCCTCACCGCCGCGCGATTCGTCCGAAGAGCCTCCAACAGCCACACGAAGAGAAGGGGGTCAAGCTGTGGCTCTCATACTGGCACCGCGCACAATCAGTTTACACGTCTCCGACAGGCTGCACCCATGAAGGGCGACCCCGAGCGCCGCGCACATGCGCCCCAAAGGCTCCAAAAATATTCAACTGATGGAGGACGAATTCTCTCCAAAATGCCGCTCTCGCCAAGAAGCGCCGCGTGGAGTCGCCTTATGTCTCATGAACTTCCGACCGTTGCACGGAGGGGGGCGGGGGGGGGGGGGGGCGATTCCTTTTCGACATGTGGCCCTCACCTTAGCGCTACGCGTATTCGTTCGGCTGGACAGTTCCCATCAGGTACACGGACAGACAAGGGTCGCGTTTAAAGGATGGCGTGTCGCCTCAGCGCCGCGCAGCTTCGTCTTGAAGATCCCCCGAAAGTTACACACTTGGAGGGGCTTGCGGTTCAAACTACAGCTTTCGCTTGAGGCGTCGCGTCTCCGTGATCAGGAGCCCCGACTTGGACCACAGCTATTCGGCGTTTCGCCATTGGGCGGAAGGGGGGGCGGGGGGGGGTCTTGCCCTGGACCGCTGCTTAATGCGACTGTTTGCAACAGTGCGTCCTATGGGGGAGGTTCCGCCTGCCTGCAGCAGGCGATGGGGGGGGGAGTGGGGGCGAGGGTCCGCGCCGATCGGCAAACCAATAAGAAACACGATCACCAACACAAATGGAGGGCGGTCTCTATTCAAACCGAGGTTCGCGCTTGAGGCGTCCTTTGGCAGTACGCCTGGACGTTGAAAATGTTAAGAGCGGCGCGCATGGAGGGCGGCTCCGTTCCGACGCGGGGCCATAGCTGGGCACATTCCCTGGCTTGGATGATCCTACCTCGCGCCGTCCTCATACAGTAGGAGCTCGACCACAAGAAACCCTCGACGAGAAACCCAACCCTGAAACTCCAGGACGTGCACTGCTTGTTGCTGTGGGAACGTCACGATTCCCACAGCAAAACCATCGCAACCCAAGAAACACGGGGCACCCTGGAGGCAAGCAGGGTGTGTCTTGTCATGGGCTTCCACTGTAAATATCTGCAAGGATGGCAACTCACGTCCTCAACCAGGCCCTCGCCTGAATGGCAGGACAATGTGTCGATCGTCGTTCCAGTGACCACTCCCTGCAGGGAAAACGAGGCGGCGATATGGGACTGGCGGGCGCATTGCAACAGTGTTGATGCATCATGGGTTTATGTAACACGGTCGTTCATCCTCATCCTCCTCATCGTCAGCATCGCCGAAGCCGCCGCTCATTGTCATCAGCCGCATCTTCGCCATCATCATCGTCATCACCAACAGCAGCATAATCATCCTCAGAAACAGCAGCAGCCGCAGCATCGTCATCAGCATCAGCATCATCAGCATCATCGGCATCAACATCATCATCAGCATCAGCATCATCACCATCGTCAGCAGCATCATGATCAGCCTCAGCATCATCATCAGCAGCAGCAGCATCATCATCCAAAGCATACTCAGCAGCATCATCATCACCATCAACAGCATCATCACCACCATCATCAATCAGCATCAGTAGCGCCATCCTCGTCATCATCACCAGCATCCTTATTACTATGACAGTCATAGTCAGCAGCAACAGCACCGTCATCCTCATCACCAACATCGTCCTCACCATTACCATATCAGCATCATCATCAGCAGCATCATCAGCAACAGTACCATTATCAGCAGCATCAGCAGCAGCATCATGCTAATCATCAACAGCAGCATCATGACCAGCAGTGCCATCATTATCGTCAGAATTAATGTCGTTGATATTAATACAACTGCTGTTATCGGCCACAGCATCAGCTTAATCATCATCATCAGCATCAGCATCAGCATCAGCATCATCATCATCATCATCAGCAGCAGCAGCAGCATTATCATCGTCAGTCATCGTCATTCTGGAGTGTCCCTCCTCATCCTCCACTCCCCACCCCTCTCTAACTCCGCTTCCTCATCTTCATCCTCCTGCCGCTCCATACTCCTCCCGCATCCTGCGCCCTCCCCCAAAAGGTTGGCATAATCAACCCCTCCTGATGGCCAGACAGGAGCAGCAAGAGCAGAGGCAGGGGCAGAGGCAGAACGCGGGGCAGGAGCAGGAGATGAGGAGGGATGAAGGTTGTTTAAGATGTGTTGTTATCGGACCCGAGCCGAATATTCGAGTTTCTGCAGGGCCCTGAGGAGTGGAGCACCGAGAGTGGTAAAAGAAGATGGAGAATTCCGCGTGAGGGTAGAAAGAGGTATGAGGGAGTCAATACAACGAAAGGGGTGGAAGGGGGCATGTTGGAAGCTCCATTCCCTCAGGTCGCAGTTGGTGTTCACTGACATGTCTGAAAGGCCCATTATCATCCTGCGGGGATGCGTTTGGCACGGCTCTTCGTCAGCATACGCGCAATGTTCGAACGGCCGCCGACCAAGAACAATGACCCCTCCGACCACCCCTGCCAACGAATACTACAATGTCCACGACGCGGCCGCAGATTGATCATGAGCGGGCACCCCGTGATCAACTGGCATTGGCTTTTCACGGAGATGGTGGGGGTGCTAACGTCCTTATCCGCTGTGCGGTGGCCAACTGTCAACGATCAAAGCGAATGATCTAACTGGATGCGGGTGCAAACACCACATACCATGCGTCAGCACCGCCACCACTTTGCGTTCGTGAGGTTCGACATATTGCCCGACGTGTGCTGTCACGTGAACGGGGGCGCCTATCGCCGCCAGACGCACTAAGCGCGCGTCGCGCACCTGGCGCGGCTGGAACATGCGGAACACGCGGCGCGACTGGCGCATTAGGTTTGCCTGGCACGCCTGGGCCCCTGGGTCACCTGGTACACCTGGTGCGCGTGGCGAACCTGGCACGCGCGGCGAACCTCGCGTACGCCGCGCACCTGGCGTCTGCAGCGGTTCCCGATGGCTGCCTGCCCGATGGCGACCTCTGCCTATGCTGACAGCTGGGATGCTACTGAGGCGGTGGGAGGCCAAGTGGGAGTATCCGAGGCAGCTCGTGGCGATTCGTTGGGAACTACACACACACACCCAAGCCCTGGGCCATGGGCCTGGACGCCCCCATCCGACCCACCAGAGCGCCCACGGTTTCCCAAAATTTGCCACGAAATGCAAGCGAGCGCCACGCGGCCCGGAAAACAACTATTTCCGGCAGGTCTCCAAGAGGCGCCACGGCCGACACAAAAAAAGGCTCCAGACGGCCACCGCGTCTCCAGAGGGTACCCCCGGCACGCCAGACCCACGCACAAACCTGCAGGCGTGTAGTGCGCTTGACTTCTCGCCCTCTCCCTTCTGATCGGCCTCTGGGGCCTCAAGATTCGAGTAGGGGATCGACTACAGAATTGGCTCTTCCCAAGCGTGAAATCTTCGTCGAACCCACCAAACAACTACGTCGAACGGATGTAGATCTACAAACATTCGACGCATGTTCCGCACACTCGACGAACAAATCAGTGTTGGGGGAAACTCCACTCAATTCTGTCGTTGATCTCCAACTCGACAGAGGGCTCCAAGATCGCCTCAAGGGAGCCCCAGGACGGGCCCGCATCGCTCGAGGTGAGAAGGGGAAAGAACTGGCGCCACAATGATCCGTCCTCTCACTAGACAAGCGCTTTCCACTACACGCAAAGTAACTGCTCGCAAATGGTCCGGATCTGCCGAGGGGGATCTGCGATACAGTACGTCGAGGCAGGCGTTTGCGTTCAGGACCTTTTGCGGGTAATGCGGCACTCTGCGAGCAGTAAGGAACGCGCACGGCGCAGGTCTCCCTGGCGGGGCAGCGGGCCCACCCCGCTGGCGGCACTGCCGGCGGAACTGTGGAGACACAGCACGGGCTGCGTGGTCTGGCTCCCACGGGGGGCCGGCCGCGCCACGCGCTCGGGGCGCGACCAGTGACCCCGAGCGGCCTCGCGCCCCTCCCGCCCCGTCTTTCGGCCGTTCCCTCTGCTGTGTCCCCTCCTCCTGCACGGTGGCACGATTCGCTACAACGGTAGCCCCGCCTAGGTAGCCCTCCGCCAGCGCAGTAACTCTGCCTAGCCGCCGACGTAAAGAATGATATTGCTCCCACTGGAGTTCTGGCTGCAACAAAGAAGCCCCCCAGAGGACCGCACGAGGCACTCAAAAAGCCTCCCACATGACCCCAGGATGCTCCAAGGGGCCTCAGAGAGGCATCCCAAGAGACCCTCAGATTAATCCAGGAGGCTCCTGACCCAAGATTGAGTTTCCAGGATCGTCTCAGACACTCACTCCTTGTGGGGGTCGGCGGAATGGCGTAAGCCTCTTGAATATTGTGGATTGTGTCTTTTGGCTCCCACGGCAGCTCTGGCTGCAATTCCGACCACACCTCCAGAAACGAGTATGGTCCTAACTCCGCATGGTATTCCGCCAGGTCGGTGGGCCTCAGCCAAGCAACTGGCTGCGTGCCACGCCATGCCTTGCCAGCAACCTGGAAGTCTGACGGATGTTAGGACAGAAATGGCAGGAAGTGAAGGACGAGAAATTGAAGCAGAAAAGACATGGCAGAGGAGAGGAGGCAGAAGAGAGAGGGAAGCGGAACCATCTAGGCGCACTCGCATCAAAAATTAAACCACGCCCACGACGCCAGTACCCAAACGAGACCGTCAACGACTGCCAGCGAGACTGATTCTGATCCAACCGCGCTTGGCCTATGACCCCACGCGTAACTGTCGAGATCCAGAGCGCCTCTGGGCATCCCCCAACAAAAATTAGCCTGACGAAAGACCCAACCATGTGCAGCTGCGAATACCGCGAGGGAAATGACACGAAGGAGGGGGAAGCAAACTACAAGTGGCGCGAGGCATGACCCCTGGAGTCGTAGGCACTGCGTCACATCATGGACGAGGCGCAAGACAGCGCGGGCCTTCGGTGGAGCTCCCTATGGGGCCACGAAACGCTGCCCTGGGTAGGGGAACCGCATGCGCCCCCCCCCCGCTGGGGCCTTCGGTGGAGCTCCCTATGGGGCCACGAAGCGCTGCCCTGGGTGGGGGAACCGCATGCGCCCCCCCCCCCCGAGATTCGGTCTCTTTACAACCAGAACAACCACTTTACAACCATATGGGTTACTTTACAACCAACATAGGATGGGAAAGTATGTTTTCTCATCGAGAACGTCCACTTTGCAACCAGAACGGCCCACTTTACAACCAGAACGGACCACTTTACAACCAGAACGGGCCACTTTACAACCAGAACGGACCACTTTACAACCAGCTCAGAGTGGCCGTGCGTGTTTGGGCGTTCCCCAAAGTGCTCCAGAGCAAGTGGGCGCTCTGAAAACCACCCCAGAGCAATTGGGCGCTCTGAAAAATGCCCCAGAGCAAGTGGGCGCTCTCAAAAGTGCTCCAGGGCGCGCGGACGCTCTGAAAAATGATCCAGGGCACGTGGGCGCTCTGGAGCCCGAGCGCCTGAACTCTCTGCGCAGGCCCCAGCGATGCCTCTGAACCCGAGCGCCTGAACGCCCCGCGCAGGCCCCGGCGATGCCTCTGAGCCCGAGGACCTGGACGCTCTGCGCAGGCCCCAGCGATGCCTCTGAGCCCGAGGACCTGGACGCTCTGCGCAGGCCCCAGCGATGCCTCTGAGCCCGAGCGCCTGGACGCTCTGAGCAGGCCCCAGCGATGCCTCTGAGCCCGAGCGCCTGGACGCTCTGGCGCTCTGAGCCCAGCAGACTAAGACAGGGCTTGCTAGCAGGGGCCAAGCGGCCTCAACAAGGGCCCCGTGCTCGCACGGGAATAAGGCGACAGCATACGTAGGAAGGCTCAGGGCGACGCGCTGCCCATTTTAGGGATCACTCACAGGAAGCGAGCCCAGTGGCCTCCACAAGGGCCCAGCGCTCCAGGGAACTAGGCCATTGGCACCGCGGGTCTCTTGGGCCACGTTGGCCCCTGAAGCCCCACGGTGTTCTGCAAGGGGCTAAGTGCGCCCGCTCCAGTTGGCCCCCTGCTGCTCCTCGTCTTGGAAGATCGAGGTTCAACGTCCCGAATAAATGCAACTATTTCGAAGATCGTTTCTTCCAGCGTCAGCCAGCTTGCCCACGGAGATTTCAGGGAAAGGCACGCGTGCATTCAATATGTGTTTTTAACTGGCCTGGTTGTAAAGTGCCCTTCCTGGTTGTAAAGTGCCCTTCTTGGATTTTATAAGCTGGTTGTAAAGTGACCCATCTGGTTGTAAAGTGCGCTTCTGGTTCTAAAGTGACCCACGCGCCCCCCCCCCCCCCCACACTGGGACCTTCGGTGGAGCTCCCCATGGGGCCACGAAGCGCTGCCCTGGGTGGGGGAACCGCATGCGCCCACTGGGGCCTTCGGTGGAGCTTCTCATAGGGCCACGAAGCGCTGCCCTGGGTGAGGGAACCGCATGCGCCCACCCCCACTGGGGCCTTCGGTGGAGCTCCCTATGGGGCCACGAAACGCTGCCCTGGGTGGGGGAACCGCATGCGCCCACCCCCACTGGGGCCTTCGGTGGAGCTCCCTATGGGGCCACGAAGCGCTGCCCTGGGTGGGGGAACCGCATGCGCCCACCCCCACTGGGGCCTTCGGTGGAGCTCCCTATGGGGCCACGAAACGCTGCCCTGGGTGGGGAACCGCATGCGCCCACCCCCACTGGGGCCTTCGGTGGAGCTCCCTATGGGGCCACGAAACGCTGCCCTGGGTGGGGGAACCGCATGCGCCCCCACTGGGGCCTTCGGTGGAGCTCCCTATGGGGCCACGAAGCGCTGCCCTGGGTGGGGGAACCGCATGCGCCCACCCCCACTGGGGCCTTCGGTGGAGCTCCCTATGGGGCCACGAAACGCTGCCCTGGGTGGGGGAACCGCATGCGCCCACCCCCACTGGGGCCTTCGGTGGAGCTCCCTATGGGGCCACGAAACGCTGCCATGGGTGGGGGAACCGCATGCGCCCCCCCCCACTTGGGCCTTCGGTGGAGCTCCCTGCGAGGCCATGAAACGCTGCCCTGGGTGGGGGAACCGCATGCGCCCACCCCCACTGGGGCATGATGATGATGATGATGATGATGATGATGATGATGATGATGATGATGATGATGATGATGATGATGATGATGGTAATGGTGATGGTGTTGGTGATGGTTATGGTGATGGTGATGGTGATGATGATGATGGGAGGAGGGAGGAGGGAGGAGGGGGAGGAGGGCGGGAAGGAAGGAACGCGGGGCGCCGTCTCTTCAAAACGAGGACCCAACACCACAGGATGGTTGGGAATGAATGTGACGCCCTTGCGATAAAGGACCGGGCAAGCAGGTGGAGCGAGCGATGCATGGCTGCATGGCAGTTGCCAGGGAGCCTTGTAGTGGTAGTCGGGGTCTGGGTTAGTCACGTCCCACTCGGTCTCCTGAAGAGAGGGAAAATATCCACAGTCTTCTACTCAACCACCTTTCCTCCTCCTCCTCCTCATCATCAGCATCATCAGCATCATCATCAGCAGCATCATCATCCTCAGCCTCATCCTCATCCTCATCCTCATCATCATCATCATCATCAACATCATCATCGTCCCTCCACCATTAACGCGGATGCCGCCACATGCGGTCGGCACGCGGTTCGCAAATTCGCCGTCAGCGCAAGACACTAAACCTGACCACCACCAGACTTGAACAAGCTCGAGCATCGCTTCGTGGGGGAATACATGGGGGGACGAAGAACCGTGCACCTTTTCGCCTCTTTTGGGCACCACATGTACAAAGCTCTTCCCCCCCCCATTTATCGCACCGCATGACGCAAAGCCCGACACGCCCATCAAACACCGTGATCCGGGTGCATGCGGCCCGCTGGTCAGGTTGAGAATCGACGCCCACCAAGATCTGGGCCCGAGGTGGGCCAGCAGAGGGTCGGCGGGTCCTGGCCATGCGAAAGCCACCCGACTCCGCGCTTCACGCAGTGCGATCATCTTCGCGCCCTCCCACGGCCCCCTCTGAGTAAGGGCACCTCTCCGGCGCAGGTCGGCGACGCAGGAGGCCGATCGATCGGCTTAGCACGCTCGTGGGTGTCTGCTTCCCGCTCCGTCTCCTTCGAGTAGAGGACCTCCCCGTCCTTCACCGCGACGGTCTTGATGTCGCTCTTGCCGAGGTCGAAGGCGAGGCGGCAGCCGCTGGCGTCCTTGCCGCAGACCTGGGGCGTGTCCTTGGACTCAGGCAGCTGGGAAGCATCCCCCACGGTCTTCACTTCGAAGGGCGCGTCCGGGGTGCCACATACGTTCGGCATCGACAGCACCTCGAATTCGTAAGCACCGCCTACTGCGAAGGCCGCGCTCAGGACAGCACAGATCTTCGGCGGGCCGCAGAGGATCAGCGAAGAGGCGCTGCGCTGCCAGATCATCTCTTGAATGAGCACGCCGGCCAGGTAGACAGACGCCTCGAAGCTCTCGTGCCCCTCCGCGAACACCGGGAGTTTGTAGCGCCCGCAACCGTCGGCCCGCGGGAGCGCCCACTCCAGGCTGTCACTGGCCCCCTCCACGGCCTTCAGGTAGTTCCTCTTCGCCAGGATCAGAGGAGCAAAGCCAGGGTCGAGAGGCGCGGGCACCTTGGGCGTGCAGAGCAAGATCTTCTTCGCCGCCTCAGGCATCGCCATGGGCGCGCCCGGGGAAGCAACGGCGCGCGGCCGTGGAGGCAGCCTCACCAACACTGGCTTATGGTGCTACAGCTCTAGAAGGCTAGACGAGGAACAGGAGCAGACTCGATGAGAGCAGGGGGGAGAGTACTAAAGAAGCGCACGCACATAAATCACATCACGGGGCCACCGTCTCACGTAGAGGAAGGAGCGATAATACAGGCAGCGGATGGCATGGGAGACAGGGACAGGCTACTCTGCGTTCGGTAACAGGCGTGGGGGGGCGGGGGCGCCGCCCCCGATGCTGAACAGCCTCGCCTCGGCGGCGTGCGTGCGTTGGGGCGACTTCGGCGCGCTGCGGTTGTCCCCGACATGGAGGAGCGACTTAGGAGCTGTCTGAAGGGGGGAAGCGACACCGTGGCGCTGATTGTAGACCTCGGGAGTACGGAAGAATGGAAAAGAGATCCTCCTCTCGAGCCCGCTCACGTCCAGGCACAAAAAAGCTAGCATGGGGGAAGCGGGCCCTGAGGGAACCCGGTCCTTGATCCTGGGGCCTCCCCAGTGGACATTGGACGAGATCACCGTGCCGAGAGTCGTGCCCTGACGGCCCCGGGGCCCGTGGAGGGCCCGGCCCAAGAACGGCGACAAAAACCCTCAGGGCCCACTTCCCCCAGGAGCAGCTTCCCCCAATTAGGAGAAAGAAACAAGAAAAAACATGAACAGAAACTTTGGGCGCTCCGCGTGGATTTCTTGGATCTGCGCTGGACCCCCCTCCCTGGCGCGCGGAGCGCGCCGGGGGCGGCGCCAGCGGCGCCGCCAGGGGGGGCCCGGCGCGGCTCCAAGAAAAAGACACGCCGCGCCAAAAGTCTATGCCTGTGCCCTTTCTTCTTCTTCTTCTTCGGCCACAGCGCGGGTGGCTGCGCCACCGTGCCCACCCCACCGACCCCACGGGGGCCCACTGCCGCGGGCGACTCGCCTCCCGCAGCTGCCCCCGCTGGCAGGCGGCCCCCCCCGCCGCCCGGCACCGACCCCGCGGAGCTCACGCGGGCGGCGCCCAGCCGCGCCGCACCGCGCCGCCGCGCGGCGCTCCACGCGGCGGCCCCGCGGCATCGGCGCAGCCGTGCTGGGCTGCGCCTCGCGCGCCGCTGGGCCCGAGGGGCCATGCTGGGCTGCGCCTCGCGCGCCGCTGGGCTCGAGGGGCCGTGCTGGGCTGCTCCCCTCGTGCACGGCTGGTGCGCACCGGCCAACTGGCGCCGCCCCGCGCCGCGCACGCACGGCTGGAGCACGCGCTCTTGGCGACTGCCTTCGGGAGGCGGTCCTGTTGGATCGCTCTGCCATCGGCGCAGCGGGTCCGATCGCGCCAGTGTCGGGTGCCCTGCCGCTGCCGCGTCCCAAGCGGCCCTCCGAGCGCGAGCCACGCTGCGCCACGCGGAGCATGCTGCTGCCGCTGCGCGGGCGTCTCCGCGCGGGCCACCGGTGGCCGCGCCCCCCCGCCGCGTGCAGCCCGGAAGGAGCTCGAGACTGCTGGGCCAGGGGCGGAACCGTAGAGGCTCGAGCACCCCAGCCGTTCCCATACTGTGCGACCCACGCGTAACGGAGGCGGGGCACAGGAGACGGGACGGCCTGTGAGGAGGACGGAGTGACAGGGGGAAGTGGGAGGAGGAGGCGGAGGATGAGGAGGGGGAAGAACGGTGCACTATGTGAGAGCGAAGAGCGTGCCCCCCAAGGGCTGAAACATGCTGACACTACGGCGCTTCAGAGAAAAGGTGCAGGCAAAACAGTCGGGCACAGGCCAACGTGTGAGAATGCCTCCACCGCCCGCGCCGCGCTGCCGACGAATTTGCACACCCCATCGTTCAGTCCTGGTCCAAAGCCTCCTGGTCCAAAGCGGCTGCGGAGGGGAGGGACAGGAGGTGGATGGAAACTAAGACGATCCAAGACCCCCCTCGGAGCCTCCAATCCGCCAGCCCAAGGGGGCCAAGGCGTGCTAGAATCTCTGGTTGCTGCCCGTTGTTTGTATACATTCCGCACGCGGGTGACGGCCCCCAAGGGTCTGGGGAGAGAAAGAACCCCAGGCAAATCCTGGGAGGTCTGCTCACGGATGCTGGATGCTGAACTCCTGGAGCACCCGAAGAGCGCCTGGGGGGAGCTCCGAAAGAGCCCGAGAGGGTCAAGACCGCCTCTTCAGAGGGCCGCAAGAGGAACCCCAACAGAGCCTTGAGATGCAAGACGCACTGTTCCCAACCATCCAACCATACTGTAGTGTTGGGTCCTCGTTTCAAATGCGCATCACCGCGCGCCCTCCCATACTCCCTCCTCTTCCTCCTCCTCCTCTTCCTCCTCCTCCTCATCCTCCTCCTCCTCCTCCTCCTTTACCTCCTCCTCCTCCTCCTCCTCCTCCTCCTCCTCCTCCTCCGTCCTGCCGTCCGTCTCACAGAAGGCCAGCCTGGGGGGGTCCAAATGCCTGACTCCGCCCGTTCACACGCTTCGTGGCCCCATAGGAGGTCCACAGAGGGCCCACATGGCAGGGTCCGAAAGCATGACCATGCAAATTCTGGCACACCCCTTACACGTTTCGTGGGACCACACGAGCTCCACAGAAGGCCCACATAGATGGGTCCGTACGACTGACCACGCCCACTCTGGCACACCCCTCACACGGTGCGTGGCCCCACAGGAGCTTCACAGGAGCCCACATGGTAGGGTCCGTATGCCTGACGCCTGACCACGCCCACTCTGGCACACCCCTCACACGCTTCGTGGCCCCACAGGAGGTCCACAAGAGGCCCGAGTCAAATTGCAGGGTCCGCATGCCTAACCACGCCCATTCTGGCGCACCTCTCACACGTTTCGTGGGACAACAAGAGCTCCACACAATGCCCACATGGCTCGGTCCGTATGTCTGACCACGCCAATTCTGGCACACCCCTCCCACGCTGCATGGCCCCATAGGAGCTCCACAGAAGCCCACATGACAGGGTCCGTATGCCTGATCATCCCATTCTGGCACACCCCTCACACGTTTCGTGGCACCAAGGAAGTCCACAAGAGGACCACCTGGCAGGGTCCGTATGCGTGCCCACGCCCAATCTGGCACACTCCTCACATGTTTCGTGGCCCCTAAGAGAGCTCCGTAGGCTTGACCACGCCAATTCTGGAATGCACCTCACACGCTTCGTGGGCCCACAAGCGCTCCACAGGAACTCACATGGCAGGGTCCCTATGCCTGACCACGCCCATTCTGGCACATCCCTTTTCATGGACCCAGAGAAAGCTCCACAAAGGCCACGGTGAGTGCGTCCACGTGCGGTCCCCGCCCATTTCGCTCCCCCCTGCGACGGTGTCCAGGCCCCATAGGGAGATCCACCTGAAGCCCCACTGGGTGCGTACGTATGCCGCCCACGCCCATGTCGCTCGCCCGTGCCACTTTTTTCAGAACCGACAATGAACTCTACGCAAGGCCCAAGCGAGTCCGTCCGCAAGCGGCCCCCGCCCACTTCGTTCGCCCCTGCCACGTCCCTCAAGCCCGATAGAAAGCTCCACTTGACGTCCCAATCGGTGCGTCCACAGGAGGTCCCCACCCATATCGCTCGCCGCTGCAACGGCTCCCATGCCCCAGAAGGAACTCAACGCCCCACGTCTGTGAGTGCGTCCACCTCCGCCCAGTTCGCTCGCCACTGCCACGTTTTCCAAGCCCCATACGGAGCTCCACCTAAGGCGCCCGTGGGTGCGTCCACATGCGGCCCCAACCCATTTCGCTCGATGCTGCCACGTTCTTCAAGCCCAATAAGAGCTAAGGCCCCAGTGGGTGCGAACACACGCGGCCCCGGCCCGGTTCGTTCACCCATGCCATGTCTGTCGGGCCCCATGGGGAGCTCAACCTGAGGCCCCAACGGGTGCGTCCACATGCGACCCCGCCAATTTCGGTATTCGGCGGTGGACAAACCTCCCTTTAGTAAACCTCCCTTTAGTGAAAACGGCCTGGGACCGAAACCGACGGACCTGGACCCGCAAAAATGACGGCCGCGACGCCCTCTCGCGAACCGAAAACGGCCAATTCCTTAATCGACGTGTCAGGGTAGGAGGTCTGTCCACCCCCGAGGTATACCGACTTCGTTCGGGCACCATAGGGTGCTCCGTTGGTGGCGACCGCATGGCGGACTGCCGCCCATCTCGCTCGCCCCTGTCACGGCCGCCAGGCCCCAAGAGGCGGTGTGGCCGCAGGGCGGCCCCGCCACTTCGCCGGCCCCTGCCGCGCTCTTGAGCACCCAATAGGGAGCTCCACTTGAGGCCCTAGTGCGGGTTTTGCATGGCGCCCTCCCCACCCTCACCACCACGCCCACCCCTGCCACGTTTTCAAGACCCCATTGGGGAAACCAAAAGGTACTGGTACCGCTACTCCCTGGACATCTCCCGGGGTGCGTTCTGACCAGAATTTCGAGGCGAATACAGCGGTGGCGACGAGGGCCTCCGAGGAGAACCACAAAGGGGAAAACGAGGAAATGGTGGAGGTATGGGTATCTTTCCCCCATTTGACCCATAGGGAGCTCCACCGAATGCCCCAGTGGCAGCTCCACCTACTCCGCGCACCCCTCACGAGAGGACCGTGGGAGCTATACCTTCAACCACAGGTGCCAGGGTGCGCCTGGCAGCTCTCCCCCCTACGGCGAAGCCCTGACGAGGATCGTAGCCACGTAGACGTCTCCACCGACGGCCCCAGTGGCAGGGTTCGCATGCCCCCTCCCCACAGAGAGGAGAAGGAGGAAGAGGAGGAGGAGGAGAGGGACGAAGATGAGGAGGAGGAGGAGGAGGAGGAGGAGGAAGATGAGGGGGAGGAGGAGGAAAAAGAGGACGAGGAGGAGGACAAGGAGGAGGAGGAGGAGGAAGAGGGGGAGGAGGAGCACAAGGACGAGAAGAACGAGGAGGAGGAGGAGGAGGAGGAAGAGGAGGAGGAGGAGGAGGAGGAGGAGGAGGAGGAGGGGGAGGAGGAGGAGCAGGAGGAGGACGAGGAGGAGGAGGAG